TTTAGGGTTTAGGGTTTGGACTCTGGTCTACTTGTCGTGCTTGACGACACTGCTCTAGGTCCGCAAACGCATGTTGGGGGCGATGGCTGTTCCGAAGGGGCAAGCCTTCACGGGACAAATTGACACAACCGTGAGCCGCATTGCCACTGCGCTGGGCATTGATCTATCAAACACTGCTGGTCAGAAGCAATTGGAACATTGACGCGAACTTCAAAGCCCTTCCAAGTCGTAAAGCCTAAACCTGGTATCCTAACCTGCAATCCTACAAATCCTAAGCTTTTGTGACGCTACATCTAAAAATCCTGGTCCTAAACTGCAAAACACATCGTCCTAAGGTCCCGATCGTTGGGTCTTCGTTCAGCCTCGATGGCCCCTTGGTTCATGGCTTTGAAGTTTCTGATCCAGGGTGTAGGTTTCAGGCTTAGGATTGAAATTTTTGGGTTTTGAGGTTTAGGATGTAGGGAGACGTCCGGGCAAGGTTCTTGGAGCTTTGCTTTGGATGATTTGGGGACGCCGGTGTCTGAGGTTTACAGTTCAGGGTTGAGGAGGCTCCTGGATTCCCGGATCCAGGTTCGGAGTTGTTATAGACTGAGTTTGCCTGCACAAGTTAATAGGGAACCCCAAGAAACACGTTGCCCTCTATCTGTCTACCTATCTATCTACCTATCGATCTATTTAATCTACCAGTATCGCTATCTAGATCTTTATATATGTATCTGTATCTATACCGATATGTATCTATCTATTTATCTGTTTGTCTATCTACCTATCTACCTATCNNNATCTATCTATCTATCGAACTGTCTATCTGTCTGTCTGTCTGTCTATCTATCTATCTATCTATCTGTCTATCCATCTATCTATCTAACTGTCTACCTAACTATCTATCTATCTATCTAGCTAGCTATCGAAAACTCTGTCTATCTGTCTACCTATCTCTCTCGCTCTCTCTCTCTCTGTCTTTCGCTCTCTCTATCTCTTTCTACTCCTCTATCTATCTGTCTATCCGTCTGTCTGCCTAGCTGTCTAGCTGTCTGTCCGTCTGTCTGTCTATCTATCTAGCTGCTTTTCTGTCTATGGCGTCGTCTGTCCGACTTAAACTCAAACAAAGACGAGAAGCAGCTGAAACGGAAAGCCCTGGATACGGCTTTGGGAGAGAAGGGCCCTTGGACTAAGCCTTCCGAATTGAACCTCCGGAAATTAGAGCTCAAAGGGGCAGCTCAGGGGCAGTTTCTGGGAGCTGATATGCTGGTTGCGTGCTCAAGATTGTACAAGCCTTCAAGGGTTCTGGGTTTAGGGTTTAGGGTTCAGGGCTTAAGAGCTTTAGGTTTTGGGTCTAGAGTTTAGGGCACGAGGTCCCCAAGCCCTGGGCGGTTTAGGGTTTAGGGTTCAGGGAAACGACTCAAGCCCGAAGGGAAGAACTCTGTCACCTTGACTAAGCCACATTTCACCTAAAGCCCTAAGCCAGAGATCCAAGTGACCGTAATGTGTAGTACCAGATACCAGCACAAAGCCAGCTCTCTGGCCTGGACCCTAAACCCTCGACTCTCATTTCCTGGCCTCTTGGCCTGCGCCGCGGATTTCTGATGGGAAACAGGAAGCAAACAGTTCAACACAAAGCCCTAAATACTCTTTGGCAGGTCAAATCATCCCCGGGTACATGGAGCTGGACAAGGACCTCCAACAGCGGCCCGACAATGCTATGAGAGCTTAGCCACGAAGTCCAAAGTTCATGCTTCCCAGATTACCTATACTATACTGCTTGGCACTATGATGGTTGTCTTTGTCATTCTTCTCTTCCCATCTTTGTTGTTCTTATCTTCCCACACCTCGCCAATCCTAGACTATGCCCATGAAGTACTTTTTTGGAAGGAATACTCGCTGTCCATGTTTTGATGGATTCCCAGGATTCCGTGCAACAAGGCCCCAAACTCCAAAACCCGTCGTTGAAGAATCCTACAGGGGCTTTGGGGCGCAGCTACAACGTGGGCCGTATTGTACTGAATTGAGACTTTTTCAAGTTGAAAGGTGGAGGACATAGGGTTCTAGAGTTGCAGGGCTCAGGACTTAGACCCAGAGCTTTAGAATTTAGAAACCCTGAGCCCTAAACCCAAAGGCCCTTGCGTTCATCTGAATCGAGCTATCCCCCAGAGGGTCCATATATACTGCCATTATGGAATTAGGTCCCCAAAACCATAATAAGGATGGTCTTTTGGGACCTAATTCCATAATGGCAGTATATGTGGACCCTCTGG